CCCCCCCCCATGCTTACCCAGGAGTGCATGCAGTGGCAGAAGACACCCTCCCCCCCGCCCAGCGCCCCAAAAAGCAGCTTGTGGCTGTTCCATGCCCTGCCCCTGCTGGGCAGTGCCTATTGGCACCCCTTCACTTCTGCACCCAGGGCGGTCACCCCACTTGCTTCTCCCCATGCCTCCCCTTGCTACGGCACTGATTGTATATGGATTAGGCAATGAAATGATCACAGCAACAAAGCAGCAAAGTGCACTTCCAAAGGAATAGCTTTTCTCTAAAATGAATAAGGCAAAAACTTGCTTATATGTATTAACAACTGGAAAATTTATTGCAAATTACTGTTTTGCAAGCTCGAGTATACCATTCAAGTCAAGAATCCAATGCCAGGCCTGTGCAGAGAGCACACAGGATAAGTAGGGGTGGCTGCTTCATCACCAGTTTACAAAAGTACCTAAAAAATCATTATTGCCTGGCACTAACTTAGGTAAGAGTTAAGTTAAGATGTCTTTTTATGATAAACCTGTTAACTATATTGTTACCTCATCCAGCTCCTCCTATCCCAATTTATCTAACCCACCTGTTGGATTCTAATGCCAAGCTGGACACTTTATTACTCATTTGTATGCTGCCTAGGACACTAGGGCCCTGGACCTTTAATTGGGCTTCCTATGTGCTACAATAACAGAAATAATAGTTAGTAAAAATTGTTCCACGGAGGCCACTCAACACCTTCAGATGGACTGACATCTGCCTGGTTTCTCCCTCAATCTTCCCATCTTCCATCCACTCAGGGCTGCTTCACAAGCAGTTTAGTCTAAATACATCTTGATAACCAAGTAATGTATTCTCTGCGTTTGTCCATTTGTGCATCACAGCTACATCAGGTCTGATGTGCCAGAATCAGCTCCTGAAGGCGGGAGCTGAATGTGTCTCTGAATGAACAGAAACATGGGTAAAAGAAAACAATTTCTAACAAAGGCAAATTAATTTTTCTTGTGGATATTTCATTATGTCCTAGTCAACCCACAATAATATATATTTTGTTAAAACTAATAAGCCATGCTAACCTGAGCCCCACAACACAGTTTGTTGCTAAATCATTGCTAAGGGGTAAAGGAACGAAATCACTTTTTTGTGAAGTTTATAATTGTGTGAAGGTGAAAGATTCTACTGTACCTGTTTTAACAAATGCAAACACTGATCTCAACAAAACTGCACTGTATTACAAGCTTAAGGTAACATCTCAGCTGCTACTGTAACCCTTTAACATTTAGACCAAAAAGTAACCATATAACTAGGAGATAGAAGTGGACTCTTGATATCCAGATTAAT